GTGTCCCATAGGTTTGAGTATGTTGTCTCTTTATTTTCATTAAATTCAAGGAAGACTTTAATTTCTTTCTTAATTTCTTCCTTGACCCAGGTGTGGTTCAGTAGTTGATTGTTCAGTTTCCATGAGTTTGTAGGCTTTCTGGGAGTAGCATTGTTGTTGCCTTCTAACTTTAATCCGTGGTGATCTGATAAGACACAGGTGGACACTGATATTTTTTTGTATCTGTGGAGGTTTTGTATCTGGATGTGCCCAGAAGGAGTAGAAGACTGGAAATAATCAAACTGAGGGCAGAAATAAACAAAATAGAAACACAGAAAACAGTCCAAAGAATCAATGAAACAAAAAGTTGGTTCTTGGAAAAAATCAACAAGATCAAAAAAAATAAATCTTAACAAAGTTGCTGGTTATGGATGATTTTCAACCTTATGGGACATATTGCTGGTTCTGCCTCACTTCTCAGGACCTCTGCACCAGAAACAAATATCTGTCATGTTTCCATAAACAATGTATTCTTTTTTCCTCCATATTCTTCTCTCATATTCAAGTTCTTATTAATTCTGCAAATGAATCTTCTTCTTGGATGTATTTCCTCATGTGCTTTATATTCTACTTTTGGCTTCTGTAGGCTGTATTTATCACCTGTGCTAATACTTTGTCATTAAAGCCTTCAGTTTGGTTGTGTTTTTTCTCTCAGTATTGAAGGATATCCCATATCTTTTCTATATCACCTCATATCATTCCACAAACTCCAGTGCTCCTTTGTGGAGAATTTGTGCATTGAAAGCCTTTGGTAAATGTTTTGAAGTAGAGCTTACAATTTTAATATTCTTTCATAAAAACATCAAAACTAATTTAAAAATAACAGATAACACTTGTGTATAAATTTTATGCACATCTCTTTTTATGCCTCCATGGAAAACAAATGTATACTACTTAAAATTTTAAAAGAATATGATAGGACATTTAGAGAAAGCATTTGCATTCTCCTGAACAATTGTTCCTGTTTCATGCAAAGGTATGGCTAAAATTTATGAGATTTGTGTATTTAAAATATGGCTTCTCTTTGTCAGTTAGTTTTATTGAATGAATAGAGGGATGGAAATATTTGTTCTGTGATTTGTGGTTTAAGGAAGTTATGTAGATTTGTCAACCTCACAACCTCACTCATTTTACTACTTTCTCGCTAAAGCATTTAAATCATAAGCATGTACAGAGATATAGACAGACAAAGCAAAGTTCAAGTTTTGAGAGCCAATGGAACATCTTTCAAAGGCAGATGCTCTGGCAAGCTCCAATCATCTTAAATTTGACTCATCTCTATCTCCATGACAACTTTTTTTTCCTCCCTTCTCTTGTGAACAAAAGATTATTCCACTGCTCCCCTCTGTCTCTAAATAGCATAGGACTAAAGCACCACTGAAAACACAGGAGGACTCAGAATTCTTCATTTATTCCATCTTTGAAAGCCATAATAGATGCTAGGAAAGCAAGCAAATATCTGTCCTTCTAAAGACTTATCTGAATGGACACTACTGTACTAGTGACATATGATCTAGGCTGTGAGGACTCTTCATAGAGTGTAAATGTATCCTCTCAGGGTTAACTTGCAAATGTCAATAAACCAAAAATAACTTTTCAGGACTTACAAAAAAAACAATATGACATAGTAACTAAGAATCAGGCTCAAATATGTAAAATTGGCCAGGCTTAGTGGCTCATGTATTTAATACCAGCACTCACGGGCAGAACTCATCTCTGTGACTTCAAGGCCTGCCTGGTCTATATAATGAGATGCAGAGCAGACTCAGGTACAGAGTGACACCCTGTTTTGAAAAAAAATAAAACAAAACAAAAATTAAAGTTTAAAGTTTTTAACAGTTTTACTCTAAAGTAGTATAGAACTTAAATAACATAAATAAGCATGGCTTCATCTCAGTCCCTGTCTACCATAGAGTCTCAATAAATATAATTGCCTTATGCATATTTGGAAACATGCTTTCACAATCTAATGGACATAGCTCAGAGAAAGGAAGTCCAAGCATATGACCTCAAATGCAGCTTAGATGTACCTTCAAAACATCATTCCGAATGGTTTTTACTTTTCAATATGGCTTGTTGTTGGCTCATTCATTGATTCTCAATATTTTTTCTTCCATGGTTGCAGATTCCCTTGAAATTTCACAGAAAACCACTTCTTAAACCAGAAAAACCCATTGTTCTAAAGGTTGTACCACGGGATGTGTTCATTACTGGAGTGTGAAGTTTCCCTCAAGGACTCTGCAGTGTTCCTCTTCAGGTGGTGTCTAAGAACACTGGAATCTTTAATTTACTTCATGAATAAAACCCAGATGAAGATGAGCATTAATCAACAGGACTTGGTGCATGGTTAAGGATTCAGTGCATCCATTGAGCTTTCTCTTTGTCAAAATAAAGGAGAATGTCACAAAACAATCCCACACCAGTTTGGAATTATGATTAATAGAAGGGTTATTTATTTAAAGGGGAAAACTTACAGATTACCATCCTGGACAACAGCCCCCTGCATGACCAGGAAAAGAGTCTGGTAGTCAGAAGCGGAGTCTGAAGCAAGAGAGGGAGCACATGGCTACCACTGCTTTTTCAAGCCAAAGAGACCACACCCAAGTGGGCTGGTATCTTAAAGGCTATTGGCTAAAGAAGCGGAAGGAGCTCCTGCAGCACCTCCCTCTTTTGTTTAAGTAAGAGAGTTCCAAACCTACTACAAAATTATATACAATAAGAACAAATATCCTATTCTAAGTAGCATAAGTCTTGTATAATAAATAACTTGGACAAGTCATGAGAGGAAAGTAATTACATTTATCTAGTCTTCTACCCCATCGAAGTTCTGAGAAGGGAAACAATGCTATTTGAGTAATTAGGAAGTGCAATCAAGCAACTTCCAAAACATGCAACAAATCACAGAGACAACTGGTTACCTGGGAAATCACCCAAACTCACATTTGCAGCGTTGAGGCAAACAACTTTGGCTAAGGCCTAGAATAACTGACAGATTATTTTTAAAGGCAAGAAAATTTTCAAAACCGTCTTGCCCTGTCTTAGCAAGATTTGACAGTTCTGCTTATACATTTCCAGATACTATGTATTTTGTCAGTAGTTGAAGTATGGGCAGTTCCTTGCCCAGAGGCTGGTTTTGCCAAGAAGAAGACAAGCTCCAAGTGGAGTGTCTTAGGTGCTCAACATTCTCTCGGGAATAGATCGGTGTTGCCAGGAGCGACTGTGTCTCACTACCACATAACTCTAAGTTAGATTAAATGCCATTTTCTACAGCTCTTTGAAGAAGTTGAAGATTATCTATTTATATGGAATATAATCTTTATTATCTAAAAAAAAAGACCAATTAGGGCTGGAGAGATGGCTCAGCGGTTAAGAGCACTGACTGTTCTTCCAAAGGTCCTGAGTTCAATTCCCAGCAACCACATGGTGGCTCACAACCATCTGTAATGAGGTCTGGTGCCCTCTTCTGGCCTGCAGGCATACACACAGACAGAATATTGAATACATAATAAGTAAGTAAATACTTTTAAAAAAACAATTAGTATAACTATAAATATGACAAACATAGATGACTATTGCTCTATAATTCTTAATATCTATCTAACTTAAAGATTAAGACAGTGAACAACTATGCAATAAATGAGGACAATGACCTCCAAATGTAAACAATGTACAAGTATCCTGATCAGAGTTAGAAATGTACACTGCAATATGGTAAATATATATATATAAATGCTTTAAACAGAGGTAGAAGCATTCGTGCATCCAATATATTCAATATAATTTAACTTTGTATTCATATACAAGAATCTATTCCAATATAATTGTCTATAAATAATAACTCACAAATACTAATCTATTATCCCATTATCCAATTTTCCCTCTTTTTTTTTTCAAAAAGATCCCTGAGCTTATAAAATTCCTCCCCCAACTCTCAACCATATATCAATTATAATCAACCCTTAAATGATGTCCCTAAACCTGAGGACAAACTTTGCTGGGAGAGGAGACATCGTCCCCTAAAATTACTTCCAGCTGTCATGGGGGCAACATTCTTTCTAGGGGATCCTGTGAAAGTAAAATGATGGTTAAATTTCAAGATTAATGTCTGGTAAGACTGCAAATAGTCTCTGTGTATTTTGTGGAGGTCTGGCCAGAATGTTGTATAAGATGTACACCATTTCAGCTAACCAAGTATGAACCGTCTTGTGCAGCTGGTACCCAAAACAGGTCTTGTAGCAGCGCTATCAGTATCATTACATCATATCTACCAGGTGGAGTTGTTGTTATGGGTCCCCATTTCTTCCTGGAAACTTCAAAGATTACTGCAGCAAAGTTCATTGTTCATTGTGGAAAACTTAAACATTAATTATATAGACATAAACAGACATATATATTCAATGAAAGGCATGATAGATATGAAGAAAAGCAAAGATGTTTTCTAAATTCTTCCTCATATTTCCACCTTAATCTTCTGTGTTTACAGCATTGGCTTCTTTTGAGCTGAAAAGCCATGGTCTTCAAAGCCCTCATTACAACTTAAACATAGCAGGCCACCCGGGGAAATGGAAGCTGTTTGTCCTCCCAATCCTTTCCCTTCGCAGTGCAGTTGCTATTCTAAAGCTAGCATTACAAATTACATTAAATAGAATAAACTTGGGCTGGAGAGAAGGCTCATGGGTTAACAGTGCTTGTACCCACTGCTAAGTGTAGCTTGCTCCCTTCATCAAAAAAAGCTTCTTTTGCAGCAGATGGGCACTTCTACGGAGATGCATAACATGTTAAAATGCAGAGTAAGTGACCATAGGGTGCCCATCTGAAGTTGGTTTTATATTTTATACTTATATTACATTTATTGCAACTTCTACATCTGGGATCCAAGAAGCATCACAGTAAAAGAGGCAGAAAATATGCAAGAGCCAGAGGACCAGGACGACTGATGCTACATAGTTTCTTCTAGACATGACAGGGATGCTGTATCATGAAACCTCAACCATGAAGCTGCCTTAACAAGATCTGAATAACAACAACATCAGCTAACATCCCTTGTGGATGGGGGAAGATTGTACACGCTAGATGAAGAGCTACAGGTAATCAGTAGCTACTGAGAGGGAAAAATCAGTCTTCTCAAGGGTTGAGCCCCCTGATAGGTCTTCCAATCAGAATTTGTCAGTCATAAATATGTATACAAATCAGCAACTCTAAATGGACTTACTAGGATTTATATACGTGTGTGTGTGCTCGTGCGCATATCTGCAAAACAACATTGAGTATAGAGGAAGAGGTCATGAACATGAGAGGGAATGGTGGGGACATAGCAAGAGTTGGGGTGTAGAGAAGGAGCTGGAAGTGATGTGAATACAGTACTTAGGTATGGAATTACCAAAAAATAAAAACTAAGCAAAAAAAACACGCATTTTCTTTGATTTTCTTGAACACATTGGCACAGGAAAACACTTCCTAAATATAACCCCAATAGCACAGACACTGAGAAAAACAATTAATAAGTGGACTTTCCTGAACCTGAGAAGCTTCTGTAAAGCAAAGAACACAGTTAACAAGACAAAACAACAGCCTACAGAATGGGAAAAGATCTTTACTAACCCCACATCAGATAGAGGGTTGATTTCCAAAATATACAAAGAACTCAATAAATTGGTCATCAAAAGAACAAATAACCCAATAAAAAAAATGGAGTACAGACCTGAACAGAGAACTCTCAACAGAGAAATCTCAAAGTGTTGAAAGACACTAAAGGAAATGTTCAACATCCTTAGTCATCAGAGAAGTGCAAATCAAAACAACTCTGAGATTCCATCTTAAACCTGAAAGAATAGCCAAGATCAAAATCACTGATGACAACTTATGCTGGAGAGGTTATAGGGTAAAGGGAACACTTCTGCTTTGCTGGTGGGAATGCAAGCTGGTACAGCCACTTTGTATGTCAGTGTGGCAATGTCTCAGAAAATTAGGAAACAACCTTCCTCAAGACCAGCAATATCACTTTGGGGTATATACCCAAAGGATACTCAACCATGCCACAAGGACATGTGCTTAACTATGTTCTTAGCAGTATTGTTTGTCATAGCCAGAACCTGGAAACAACCTAAATGCCCTCGACTGAAGAATGGATAAGGAAAATGTAGCATATTTACACAATGGAGAACTACACAGCAGAAGAAAATAATGACATCTTGATATTTACGGGAAAATGGATAGAGCTAGAAAACATCATATTGAGTGAGGTAACCCAGACCCAGAAAGACAATTATCACATGTACTCATTCATAAGTGGTTTTTAACCATAAAGCAAAGAAAACCAGCCTACAAATAACAATCCCAGAGAACCTAGACTACAATGAGGACTCTAAGAGAGATACATGGATTTAATCTACGTGGGAAGAAGAAAAAGACAAGATCTCTTGAGTAAATTAGGAGCATGGGGACCATGGGAGAGGGCCAAAGGGGAGGGGAGAAACAAAGAAGGGAGCAAAGAAAAATGTTGAGCTCAATAAAAATAAATTTTAAAAAAGACAAAAAAGAGGAGGAGTTGGGAATAATGTGAATACAATACTCAGGTATGAAATTGCCAAAAAAAATAAAAATAATAATAATAAATAAATAATAAAATATGCATTTGTGACTATTAGGATAAACACAATATTTTACAAATAATATCTATCCATACTGCTTTCTTTGATTATTTCTTACATTGCATATAAAGAGTTTTGGTCTTTTCTCTCCAATTCCTCTCTTTCACCCTCTCCTGCTGAGGCTCTTCTTGCTCCCTGGTCAATTCCTACTTCCCTGTCTGTTTTTGTGAGTGTGACCCACTGAGTTTATTTAGAGTTAAAGTCCAGTCGAGGGGCTGGAGAGATGGCTCAGTGGTTAAGAGCATTGCCTGCTCTTCCAAAGGTCCTGAGTTCAATTCCCAGCAATTACATGGTGGCTCACAACCATCTGTAATGAGGTCTGGTGCCCTCTTCTGGCCTGCAGGCATATACACAGACAGAATATTGTATATATAATAAATAAATAAATAATTTTTAAAAAAAATAAAGTCCAGTCGAAGAGAGGGAAGAGCGAGAATACTAGCAAAGAAGTCAAGACCATGATGGGAATAGCCACTGAAACAGCTTACCTGAGCTAATGGAAACCTTCCAACTCCAGCCTGACAGTGAGGGAACCAGCCTAGGACCAAACTAGGCCCTCAGACTGGGGGTAACAGTTGTATAGCTGGGGCAGACTGTGGGGCCACTGGCAGTGAGACCAGGCTTTTGAAACCCATTCTCTCTGGAGGGATACCTTGCTCACCTAGACATAGTGGGGAGGGCCTTTTGCCTGACTCAAAGCAATGTGCTAGATTTTGTTCACTCCCCATGGGAAAACTTACCCTCTCTGAGGAGATGGGGGAG